TAGCGCTGCTATAACAGAAATACCACAAGTGGACGGCTTTAACAAAGAGAAGTTTATTCTCTCACAGTAAAGTAGGCTATAAGTCCAAATTCAGGGCATCAGCTCCAGGGAACACTTTCTCCGTCAGCTCTGGAGGAAGGTCTGTGTCATCAATCTTCCCTTGGTCTGGGAGCTTCTCTGTGCAGGAACCTCAGATCCAAAGGATGCGCTCTGCTCCCGGTGCTGCTTTCTTGGTGGTGTGCGGTTCCCATGTGTCTCTGCTCACTTCTCTCTTTTATATCTCAAAAGAGATTGGCTTAAGACACTATCCAATCTTGTAAACCTCATCAGTATAACTGTCACTAATCCATCTTATTAGATCATAGTGATTGAGTTTACAACACATAAGGAAGTCACATCAGAGTACAGAATGGTACACAATCAGACAATACTGGGAATCATGACCCAGCCAAGTTGACAGATACCTTTGGGGGACACAATTCAATCCATAACACCTGCACCGAGAAGCTCCCGGAACCAGGAGAAAGAGAGAGATAGAGTTTTAACACTGAAGACGGCAAGAAATGGTGGCAGAAAAACAGTGGCAGCAGGAGCAGGAGACCGGCAGGAGACAGCGAGGTGGGCTTCCCTGTCCATAGAGTAAGAAAGCTGAGCGTCTTTGGGCAGGAGGCTTGCTGGCAGAGTAGGGTGCCTCTGGGTACTCGGTGGAGCTAGGTTTCCTGACCCACGGAGCTAGAGCTGAATGCCTTCAGGTCAAGCCTTACTGGCAGAGTGGGGTGCCTCTGGACAGTTACCAGCACAGCTAAAAGAGCTTTGTAACACTTGCTCGAGCAGGGCAGAGGCCAGCCCAAGGGGCCAAGGGCCAGAGAGAGACCTGCCTGCAGGCATGGCTGAGAAGAGGCTGTCCTGATTGAAGAACTGTATCCTGAGTGCTCCTTAACGTGTTAAACCAAACCAAACCCGTTGCCCTCTAGTCAATTCCAACTTACAGAGAACTGCCCAATAGGGCTTCCAAAGAGTTGCTGGTGGATTTGAACTGCTGACCTTTTGGTTAGCAGCTGTCATGGATTGAATTGCGTCCCCCAAAAATATCTGTCAACTTGGCTAGGCCATGATGCCCAGTATTGTATGATTGTCTACCATTTTGTCATCCGATGTGGTTTCCCTATGTGTTGTATATCCTATCACTATGATGTAATAAGATGGATTAGTGGCATTTATGTTGATGAGATATACAAAATTAGATAGTGTCTTAAGCCAATCTCTTTTAAGATGTAAAAGAAAGAAGCAAGCAGAGAGACAGGAGGACCTCATACCACCAAGAAAGCAGCACCGGGAGCAGAGCGTGTTCTTTGGACCTGAGGTTCCTGTGCTGAGATGCTCCCAGACCAAGGGAAGATTGACGACAAGGACCTTCCTCCAGAGCCGACGAAGAGAGAAAGCCTTCCCCTGGAGGTGACGCCCTGAATTTGGACTTGTAGCCTACTGGACTGTGAGATAATAAATTTCTCTTTGTTAAAGCCATCCACCTGGGCATTTCTGTTATAGCAGCACTAGATGACTAAGACAGCAGCCAAGCTCTTAACCACTGTGCCACCAGTTACCGTTACTTCCCTAATAAACCCCATAATCATAACTACTGCCTGTGAGTTCTGTGTGGCCATTGCAATGAATTATCAAACTCAGCAGAGAAGTAGAGAGGCAGAGAAGCAGAGAGTGCCGTGGGAGGGACGGTTGGTGTCAGAATTGATAAAAAGTTTGGACGGTGGAGGCTTGTCTGACCTCTGCCTCCTAGGAATCAGCCTTGGGCTACTGATCTTGATTCTCCTTCCCGCTTGTGAAGTTAGACAAGGAGGTCAGACGTCCCTGCCATGTCCTTTTTAGTTAGCACTGGAAATCATTCCGGGCCCTAAGAGGAGTAGAGTCTTACTCACACAGAGTCTTGGGAGAGAATGGAGCAGAGACACACATACAGCACCGCATTAATCAGACTGGGCCTTTGCTGTGCCTTGCCAGGGATTTAAAAAAAAAAAAAAATAAGTGCCTGTGGCTGCTCTAGAGAGAGACAGGTGATTGGACTCCGTCTCCTGGTCTCCCTACCCCCGTCTCTCTGTGACTCTGAAACCAATGACAGGAGGAGGCTCACCTACATTGCAGACTGCAGATTGCAGATCTCTGCAGCTGTGCTGAGGTAGCTTTCAGTTGCGGGGGACTTCAGGGCAATTTCTGCCGCACGCTCCAAGGACTTCGCTGTGTGAGCCCTGCCAGCCTAGGTTTTGAGGAATGCACTGGGTTTGTCTTCTCAACTAGACTGTCAGGGCCCTCTGAACAGGGATTATGTCTTGTTCATATTTATGTCCCCAACACCCTGCACAGCTTCTGACACGTAAAAAAGGACTCAACAAGTATTCATTGATTGAAACGAAATAATATTTGTTACAATAACTGACATTGAGGTATCAACTTCTTATTTACACGACACTTTTGCATACTGTGTGAAATAAATTCTTTTTGTTTTGTGTTAACAGATGTGTGGCTTTTAGGTAGACTGTACATTAGTAGTAGCATCCCACTGTTGAGTCAATTCTGACTCACAGCGACCCTATAGGACCGTGTAGAACTGCCCCATAGGGTTTCCAAGGCTGTAAATCTTTAGGAAGCAGATTCACATCTTTCTCCCATGGAGCAGCTGGTGGGTTTGAACCGCAGAGTTTTCAGTTAGCAGCAGAATGCTTTAACCACGGCACCACCATAGTATATTAAGTAGCAATAATAGTAGTAGAAGAGGCTGCATAGGCCTGGCTCACTATTATTTACTCCCCATTGCTAACCCGCCACATTGTCTCCTGATGTTTCACTCCCTTCTAGTCTCTATAAAAAGGTTTAAGATTAACTGATGTTCCTCCCTGGAGGGTGGAAAACAAGTGATAATGATCTAAGAATGAAAAACCAAACAAAGCACCCATCTTGTGACAAGAAAAAGCAGGATGTCGCCAGATAATCCCCAAAGATGTCACCAGATAACCTCTAAGATACCAGTAGAAGGTTAACTCATCTAAGACATCATCACCTCAAGGGGAAACTACCACGAAAGATCCATAATCCTGTCCCTATAAAAGACTTCAGCCGATCTCCAGTGGGGGAGACGGGTTTTTTGGAGGAATCTATTCCCCTCCATCTCCTATATATCGATATATAATAAACATCTTGCTGCTCACCTCACCCGTCTCGGCATTGGCTATTGCGGCAGGCGGCTCCAATCCGCGTTACTGTGGTAACAGTAGTACTGTAAGTATGTAATAGTATAATAGTAGTATAGTTACAGAAACATTCCTTATGAAGTCCTTTATTTAATAGGATAGGCAAGTCTACTGAGTGGAAGCTCTGGAGACTGGGCTCCTGGAGAGAAGTATACTGGGCAAGAGCTTTCCTGCATGAGACAAAACAAAGAAGGCAATTCTGAAGGCAGAAGCCCCAAACCACTGAAGCCTCAGCTACCAGGAGCTTGAATATCATTCCTCTTTGGGAGGCCACGGTCTGATGCAAATATATCTGAAAGGGGCTTAAGTCATTTTAGGAAGCCATTATCTCAAGGATACTCAAAAGCAACCTTGCCTTCCTCCCAGGATCACAGAGTAGGGCTGAGGAGTTGACTGTCTCTGGTCTTGTCTCTGTTCAGAGAAGCCCCATGAATAAGAGCTCTTACTCCTTGTGCTCACTTTCAGGATTTACAATTTCTCGATGCTTCAGTCACATCTTTAGTTAAAGAAGAAAATTCTAATTTGTCACCCTAGGAAATACTGTTTTCTCTCCATAATTCATAGAGTACATGCAGAACTATTTATTCTAGGTTCACTTACGTACCTGCCTTTACTCTGAAGAAAGATAAGAGGTCACCTAATCTGGACCCTGGCCCTTCACATGATGCCTTCACCCAGCTCCTGTCCCTGCCACCTGACTCTATCCCTGGCCTCCCCCACCAAGTAAGAAACCTACCCAGAAACCCGCTAGTCGGTGGTGGTGCCAAGACGCAAATTCAAGATGATTCCAGAACCGACCTCTTATTCCTTATTCCTCTTCACTAAAGAGCTGGTGAGAACTCGTATTAAGTGGGTCAGAAGGGTATAGTTCTTCACCAGAATGAAGTATTCTGCTCCCAGGCCCTGGAAATCCAACTGTGCTGCTCTACGTTATCTCTTCCCACAGGTTTCAGGTATTTGCTCCTTGCTTCAGAGCCCTAATTACAGAATACGTAGTCTTTGTTCATGCAGCAGCTCAACACCAAGGCTTTATTAACTGATTTCTTCCCAAGATTTTGTTTCTCGATTCCTGATTTGGTGAATCGGCAGTTTCTTGATGCTGTGATTTCGTACCCGTTGCCATCGGGTCGATTTGCACTCTTAGTGACCCCAGGACAGAGGAGAAACGCCCCCACAGAGTTTCCAAGGCTGGGAATCTTTATGGAAGCGGACTGCCACATCTTTCTCCCGTGGAGCAGCTGGTAGGTTGAACCGCTCACCTTTCGGTTGGCAGCTGAGCGCTTTAACCACTGCGCCACCTTGCGGATCTTATCGCCCAAGTTGCAGCCTCCGTCGGCTCTGCTCCGCGGTCAGGGCAGCGCCTAGACGCTCAGGGCTCCGGTCCAAGCGGAGTGGCCCGGGGGCACGGCAGCCAGGCGCCAGCCCAGCCGGGCAGAGACTGGGCGGCGTGGCGCTCACCGAACTACGCTTCCCATGGTGCTCCAGGAAGCCGGGACCTCCGAGGCCTCGGCCCGGCGGGGGGGGGCGGTCTCGCGCGGAGACTCCTGGGACTTGTAGTTCAGCTCCGCTCGCGCCGGCGCGGCTGCGGGCTGACTGCTGGCCTTTGTCTGCGGGCGCGCGCCGCTGGGGTGAGTGAGGCCGCCGGCCCGGGTCAGTGCGCCCGGGCGAGGCGGGGCCGCGCCGTCCGGCCCCCGCCCCAGGGCTCTCGGCGTGGCAGCGCAGCACCTGCTGCCCTGACCTGGCCGGCCTGGGCCATGGGGGAAGCCAGCTTCAGGGGAGAGGTCTGCGGCCTGGAGACGAGGGTTTAGGTGGACCCGAGAGCAGGGTACTCAGGTCCAGGGTGCGGGGCGGGCCCTGAAGGCATCAGGCGGTAGGGGAGGGTCTGCCCGGGAGGAGCGGGGCCCGTCCGACTGCCGCTTCCTCAGGGCAGGTCCTGGCTGGAAGGCCCCGCACCCTGGAGGCGTTGAGGAGGGGGAGGCCACAGGCAAGTGTGTCCCCAGGTGCCTGCGGCGAGGGTTCCAGAAATCTGGACGACGGACAGAAAGAAAGTGCAGGCTCTATAGAGAGTGAGAAGAGGCAGACCCCTCTGGGTGGAGAATGGGAGAAAGGACAAGCTGGATTCAGGGTGTGTGGGGAAATGTCACACATACCCAGAATCTCCTAATCCTGAACCCATCCCCCAGAGGGTTCTGAGACAGCAAAGTTGACCCCCTCTTGTAGTCCTCTCCTTCCAAGGACTTGCAGTTTGAAGCCTTAAATCAGTAGATCATGTCAGAGCCCCTTTCATTTTGGTTTCTTATTTTCTCAGGAGTTACTTGAGTTGTCGTTATTAACTTGCTTAGTAAGTGAGGAAATAGGGCTGTTTGGTCACTTGCCGAAGGTCACATACTGGGGAAGTCAAGGCAAGAATCCAAGTGTCTCATGGCCTAATTCCAAGCTTTCTGATAGGAAATATTTTATATTACAAAGCTACTGTCTCTAAAATCTTCAGGAAATTGATACCTCAGACTTATGATCTAGGAAGAAAAATATGACAGTTTCCCCTTATTAATCAAGGAGGTGTCTGAGACACAGCTGAGTTGTTACTTTGAAGAACTTACAGCCTGTGAAGAGGCAGAGGCTGTAAATTCTTCTGACTAAACTGTTTTCTGGAATCTTCAGGGATAGAGTCCAACTTCAGGCAGTAAATGCCATGTACTTTTCCACTGACTCTGAAGTAGCTACTTAGTAGATGTGTAGTTGTTGAACAGTAGTACGTTAGACTCCCACTTCCACGCGAGCATCCCAGCACTCTGATGGGGATTCCTTTGTAGCTCATACTCCAAGTTGGAAGTGAGCCCGCCAAGTAAGTTTCTGCAGTTTCTATCAATGTGCAGAAGGACACAAGTGCTTAGATTAACAAAGAATTGTAGCATCATACTGTTATTTCATTAAATCAGGAGGCTAGCATTTGGTAGCACAGTGGTTAAGTGCTTGGCTGCTAACCAAGAGGTCAGCAGTTCAAATCCACCAACAACTCCAAGGGAGAAAGATGTGGTATTCTGCTTCCATAAAGATTTATAGCCTTGGAAACCTTATGGGAAGTTCTGCTGTGTCCTAGAGGGTTGCTGTAGTCAAAATCGACTTGACAGCAACAGGTTTGGTTTTTGGTTTATTAGAAACAAAGACTATATACATTGAACCACTGGATAAATAAAGAGTAAAAATTCAGTAATTAGGGTCCTGAAGAAAATATTCCAAAATGAAGAATGTACAGAAAGATAACATGAGACACACGCACATGGATTCCTGGGACCTGGAAGGAGAGTAATTCAGTCTAGTCAAACTTCCATTTTATAAGAGATCTCACCAGCTCTTTAAAACAAAACAAAACCTGTTGCTGTCGAGTCAATTCCAACTCAATATGAGGAACTGGAGAATTGTCTAATGTAAGAGCATAGGCTTTGGATCCAGAAAGTCTTGGATTTGAACCCTTGCTCCGCCTTGACTCCTTGCTGGCTGTGGAACCAGGGACAAGTTAGGTAACCTAGTTGGAGTTCCTCGGGCTTGGTTTTGGAACCCAGAATACCTCTTCCTTTCCCCCAAACTGACAAGTTTTTACACTTTCTCAGAACTAGCATTCTCCTTTCTTGAAGGGTAGGAGAGGGGTGGGTCTGGAACTTCCTCAGAATTGCTAAAAAGTAACATGAAATTCCTTATGTTCTTAGAACCTAGGGGGAACTGGACAAGAGAATTGGTGGCATTTCTATCCCGGAACCAGCGTAAAGGCTGAATTGTTGGTCTTTCAGATTCTGAATTCCACTGGAGACTTGGAGGATAAAATAGCCGGTGGTTAGATGGTTAGATGAAGGAAGGAAATGGAAGGTCCCAATCGCATGCCAAGACTAAAGTACAAACAGGAGTAATCATTATCTTAGAATTGGCAGTAAGAGTTATGTGTTTGCTTTGTGTGTTCACTGCTTTCCTGCCTCCTGTTTCCTCCTGGACTCATTTGTGTGTGGTCATGGTACCTTTGGGTCCATTTTACAGTTATAGGTGATTGTGACTTTAAATCAGGCAATCCAGATTTCCTCTACTCACATGCACCCAAAAGTGGAGCTCTTGCTGCCTTTATCCTTGGCACTTAACAACTCGCCTGCCCTGTCTTGTTTGTTTTTGTTATTTTGTTTTGTTTTTGTCTGTTTTTTCCTGCTCAGGTGCCCAGGAACAGCCCATGGAAAAGTTACATGAAGAGGTGGTGATTAAGGTCATACAGCAGGAGTGGACATGTTTGGATTTCCAACAGCTACCCTGCTGGACTGTCATGGAAGATATGCCCAGAATGTAGCATTTTTCAGTGAGTGAGTTGGTTGATCACTGGGATGCCCTCAGCTCAGAGTTCAAATCCCTATCCCCAGAATGGGCTGGCAGTCTGAGGAAGCAGAGGAAGCCTTATCGTGGTGGAACTCACTGTTCTGGGGGTTATAGGAAAAGCCTGCAAGCTGGAATTAGAAATAATAGAAACAGAGGAGGAACAGAATTTCAAAGCAAGAAGGAAAACAATCTTGATATGGAGGTAGTCTCTGAGAGAATGAATGAGCAGCTTTAAATCTCAGAGTGATTACTGAATAAGGATAAGATGGGACTAAGGAGAAAATTTCCTGAGGATGACGCCAAGCAAACTATTACTAGTGATAAATGCACCCATATTTAAAGTATATTAGGAGGCTTAGATTGGAAAACACTGTCAATATGTGCAAAGGGTGTTTGAAAATAACTTCCAAAACAAAATTAATTTCAGTTCCACCATAACTTAGAATACTGAAGATAGCATGGATTTTAAAGGAAAAATATTCCTTCAATCAAATTCTATAATTGTCCTGGCTATTTCTGCAATATCAGACAAGTTATTTCTTTGAGATTCAGGCTCTTTATCTGTAAAATGGGACAATTACCTTGTAGGTTTGTAGGAATTAGCAATAATAAAAGTAAAGTGCCAAGGATTCTGCTACATATTTTCTGAGGTTCTGGAGCTTACTTTGGAGCCCTGGTGACACAGGGGTTAAGAGCTCGGCTGCTCACCAAAAGGTTGGCAGTACGAATCCACCAGCCATTCCTTGGAGGCAGTTCTACCCTGTCCTATAGGGTCGCTATGAGTCGGAATGAATGGCAACAGGTTTGGTTTTTTTGGAGCTTACTTCTCTGTCAAGAGAGCAGAATGTGGAGCAGAAGTGGAATTTTAATAAAGCTAATGAAATTTAAGGTTCAGGCCCCTCACGTGCATTGGTCTCTTTCAAGGCCTTGTGCATAATTTTATACTTTTTCTTAAAGGGGGGGCCTCTAAAATTTTAAAGCTTTAGGCCATATACATCCTGGATTCACACCTGTTTTTGAGTCAGATAATACCTAGGCATGAGGCTCTAATGTGATCCTGTATAGTTTTCTGAGCCCATTTTCTTATCTGTAAAATGGAGATAGGCATGTCCGCCTTACAAGATTACCTGAGAGGCTAAATTAAATTAAAATTAGAGGCAGGACACTGCTGTGGAGCATGCCTGGGTTTGAATCCCAACTCTATAGTTACTAGCTGTAAGACATTTGATAACATCCTTGTGTTCATTTCCTCACCTGTAGCAATCTCATAGGATTATTTTAAGGATTAAATTACATATGCAAAGTTTATAGCATAATGCCTGGCACATAATAAGCACTCAAAGTGTTACGTTTCTTTTTTTCCTGTTCTTCTCACTCAGCATATTGGTGCATCTTACATGACTTCCCTCTCATTTTACCAGATGTGATGACAGAAGCCCACCACAAATATGATCACTCTGAGGCCACAGGATCCTCAAGCTGGGATTTCCAGAATTCTTTCAGAAGAGAGAAGCTGGAACAAAAATCCCCAGATTCGAAGACACTTCCCGAAGATTCATCTGGAGTAAGACAAAAGGTCTATGATTGCCAAGAATGTGGAAAATCCTTTAGGCAAAAAGGTAGTCTAACATTACATGAGAGAATCCACACAGGTCAGAAGCCCTTTGAGTGTACCCACTGTGGAAAAAGCTTCAGGGCCAAAGGAAATCTTGTTACACATCAGCGAATACACACAGGAGAGAAGCCCTATGAGTGCAAGGAGTGTGGGAAAAGCTTTAGTCAGCGAGGTAGTCTGGCCGTTCATGAGAGACTCCACACTGGACAGAAACCCTATGAGTGTATAATTTGTCAAAGAAGCTTCAGGAATCAAAGTAACCTTGCTGTTCATAGAAGAGTTCACAGTGGTGAGAAGCCCTACAGATGTGATCAGTGTGGAAAAGCCTTCAGTCAGAAAGGAAGCTTAATTGTTCACATCAGAGTCCACACCGGCCTGAAGCCCTATGCCTGTTCACAATGCAGGAAAAGTTTCCACACTAGAGGGAACTGTATTCTGCATGGCAAAATCCACACAGGAGAGACACCGTATCTGTGTGGCCAGTGTGGAAAAAGCTTCACTCAGAGAGGGAGTCTAGCCGTGCACCAGCGAAGCTGCTCCCAAAGGCTCACTCTTTGACCACTCTCTTCAAAGGAAGTTCTCTTTTTGAATTAAGTGTACAGAATCCTCCTTAAGACCAAACAGCCTATCCAATTCAATGGAATGAATGGAGAATCTTTCAGAAAAGCTATCATTGGGTAGGGAAAACTGACTTTTCCCTTTTCTCCCAAGTCTAGAAAATAAATGTTTTGTTTATTATCATTATCACTTATGATTCCTAATTTCAGTTTATTTTGACCTGATTTCCCAAGTTTGCCCATTAATCTTGAACCACACTTGAGATTGTTCTGGGTGTAACAGATAGATTTTAAATTTGTAGTTGACACCACCAGCCTTTAAAAAATATATATCAGCCTCTTATCAATCCCAAGGTTCTTTTCTGCCCTACATATTCGAATTACTTGTTTTGCATTCAGGACCACTAGGCAGAATTCATGGGGCAAATCTATATATCCTCTTATTATCTGGATGATACCCCCAATAACTTATTCTAGCAAACCACTCATGCCCGTAGAAAACACCTTAACCTTTCCTTTCAAAAGAATACTGCTTTCCCAGCCTGCAAAGGTTTGGAGTTTGTGGACTCAGATTGACTTCAGTCCTCCATTCCTAAGTGGAATAGAGATAATTTGCCTGTAGCCAGACAGTTATCTATTTGGCAATTTCTTGAAAACTGTAAGCCTATTATCATGCCCTCAATTTAAAGGACTCCTATTCCTTGGAAGACATAATGACCTTCGCTTCCTCTTTGGCCACAGTAGCAATATCTTGGGGTTGCAGTCACCTAGAAAGGACACAAGGGTTCTTATTACTAAACCCAGATTTGTAGTCAATAATGAAGTTTCAGTCCTCTGGCAAAAGTGTTTTCTTCTTCCTACACAGAAATTTGGAAGTATAAACCACTCTAGTTTTGTTTACTTCTAGGGGATGAGACTTAAAGGAGGTTGGAAAAGAAGATGCTTTTGAAGGGAAATTTTCATTTTTTACTTTAGCCATCTCTATAATTTTTATTATAAGCATTTATGTAATTAAAATAATTATGTAAATATGTGGTTTTCTTGACAAGGTACCATTCCATTCTTCTTAAATTATAAAGTACTGATCCTCTACAAGAGGGGTCTAGTGTAATAAACTATAGACTCCTTAATCCCAAAAAGTTTATGACAGCAAATCTTCAGCATCTAGAGGTAAATGATATCAAAGTTCTTTAAGCACTGCAACACTTTAGAAATACTATAGATTTGAATAATAATACAATATTGCTCCCAAAGATAACCTGCTAACATTTGAAGATGCATACAAGCACGTTCATAATATCCTCGTAATAGCCACAGACTGGAAACAAATACCCAGCAACAGGTGAAGGCTAAACAAATTGTGGTATGTTCAAACAATGAAATCTGACTCAGCAATAAAAAGAGCGTACAACGGATACGTGCAATAACACAGATGAATCTGAAACCCTTATGTTGAGGGGAAAATCACACAGACACAAATGTAGTGATAATTCCATTATTATGAATGGAATTTAAAGAACAAGCAAAACTAATCTATAGCAATACAAGTCAAATAGTGGTTGCCTCTGGGGGACGGGAGAGGGTACATGAGAATTGAAAGGGGAATGAGGGAACTTTACGGAATGAGAAAATGTTCTATACCCTACTTCAGGTGGTAGACGCCCAGGTCTATGTAGAAAGTCCAACTATCCTGAGACCACCATGCTAGACAAGCTGCACGTAAGCACTCCAGTTGACAAGCTCAGCTGAGCTTCCAACAAACAGCCAGCATCAACTGCCAGCCATGCGAGTGAGCCATCTTAGCTATCCAGCCCAGTAGAACCTTCAGATGGCTGCAGCTCCAGCTGACATCTGACCCAAAACGCATTAGAGACCCTCAAGTACGAACTGCCTTGTCAAATTCCTAACCCACAAAAGCATGAGAAAAATAAAACGTTACGAATTTATACCCCTATATTTTGGGGTAATTTGTTATGCGGCAACAATAATCAAAACAAGTTATTTTAAAAGAAGAAGAAGCCATTGTGGAAAAAAATCTGGAGGAGCAACTTTATATTATCTCCCTGATTCAAATGGGAAATTATGATTTTATGATTCACCAGAAAGCTTAAGGTTTAAAAATGAACATTCCCTTTGACAAAATGGGCATCTACCATCTGAAATAGAAGGCAAGATAACAGATTAGTTACCTGGATCCAAGACACAAAGTGAGAAAATAGTTGCTGAGGGCCTGGGAAACATTGACCTTGTAGCTGAATTATGACTCAGGTAATATAAAACCTCTCAACTGGTTAAAATTAGAAGTCCTGTAGTTGATGTTTTTTCACTATGGCTCCCCTCAACTGACTACTATTTGAAGGTGGATTTATGACTTCAATGGAATTGCTCTGTCTTCCATCATGTTTGAAACTGGAAATGCAAGACTGCTCCCTCTGATAGACGACTCAATGTACAGAATATCTGGTAACCCCTATAAACCTATGTCAAACAGGAGTAGGCCGAAAAAGGAGCTCAGCCTTGGACTCTAGTTATTAATAACACCCAATCATACAGTAGGAAAGTGTGATGGTTAATGTTATGTGCCAGCTTGGCTAGGCTATGATTCTCAGTGGTTTGGCAGACACTCTGTAATTACCTTCCATTTTGTGGTATGATGTGAGCAGCCAATCAGTTGAAAGCAAAGTTTCCTTTGGGGTGTGGCCTGCCTCCAGTATATAAATGGATGGTCTGGCAAAGCTGGCTCTCTTTCTAGACCCTGCACTCTTCTTGTCACCTGACCTTCAGTTCTTGGGAGGTAAGGCTGCAGAAGTCTCTGGCCTGCTGCCTGACCTGAAAATTTTGGATTCACCAACCCCTACAAACCCATGAGACAGCAGAGGCCTCGAACGTACCATACAACCTGCAAATTCTGGGTTCATCAGCTCCTGCAACCACGTGAGACAACAGAAGTCTTCAGCCTGTTGCCTAACCCACGGGTTTGCAACTTACCAGCCTCCACAATTGTGTGAGCCATTTCCTTGAAGTAAATTTCTCTCTATATATCTATACACTCTTCACTGGTTTTGCTCCTCTAGAGAACACAGACTAAGACATTTGGTACCAAAAGTGGTTCTAGAGGAACAAAATCTTAAGGATGAGTTTTCTGAATTCGTTCTCAAGTCTGGCTAGACTTAAAGGCACTAATGACTATTTCTAGTAGAAAAGAAGGCACTTTTAATCTGTGGTGTGGTGTGCCAACAGAAATACACAAAATATCACCACAATTGGATCAAGTATATGTGAGAGATAAGGCTCTGGGTGATTGTGTATTTGGTACCTTTCAACATTTTTGCCAAACTAAGAAGTATAATGAAGCTAGCTGGTTGGTCCTACTTTCACTAGACGAAGTGGAGAAAGAAAAGGATGAGTTCAGGGCTTCAGAGTCCCAGCTTAAGCACCACATAAAAGACCTGAACGTTGTTATTTGTGCACTGAAAGAAAGCCTTATGTCTTCTTTATCTTATTTATTTTGTTGTTGTAGTTAAGAATATACACAGCAAAACATACACCAATTCAACAGTTTCTACATGTACTATTTAGTGACACTGATTACATTCCTCAAGTTGTACAAACATTCTCACCCACCTTTTCTGAGTTGTTCTTCCCTCATTAACATAAATTCACTGCCCCCTAGAGAGCCTTATTTCTTGTAGTTTAACAGAGCTGATACTGTTGAAAACCAAACCCAGTGTCTTATCCTAAGAGTGGCTGAATTACAACACAATTGAATTCTCAACCTCAAATGGTGTCTGAGTTAAAGTTAGGCCATTGATTGGGAAGAAACAGGGTCCTAAATTTTGAATGGGGACATGTGGGCAGATAATCTTGAAGCTGGGGACATTGAGCCCCTAAATTTTGTTGAATCAGCCCTGCCAACAGCACCAGCCCTCTCACTCTCATCTAAAGAGATTACTCCAGCTTTGTCTCCTAAGCCACCTTAACCAGTAAAACCATCCCTTTCCCCCCTATCTGATGAGAATAACCCATCAGTGTCTGAAGAGTCCTTGTCTGAGACATTACCTGGGGCATTTCTTGGGGAATTGCCTAAGGCAGATGCCTTGCAAGACATTGCTGAATGTCCCTAGGACCCACCCCCACCACCCATTTTTACTACTTGTCTTAGACTGTGTTCTCTAGAGAAGCAAAACCAGTGAAGCGTATATACATATACACACACATATATGTATATATATACATATAGCGCATGTATATACATACACACACAGAGGAAGACAAATTTATATCGAGGAAATGGCACATGTGGTTGTAGGAGCTGGAAAGTCCCAAGTCTGTGGGTCAAGCTAGAGGCTTCTCCTGACTCATGCAGCTGAAGGGAGCAGCAAACCCAAGATTGGCAGGTCAAACAGCAGGTCTCTAGCTCACAGGCTGCAGAGGCTGACGAATCTCAAGGTCGGCTGATAAGCTGCTAGCTCAAGTCCCAAGAAGGGGAAGTCAGATGCAGAATCCAGAGCAAGCAAAAGCCAATGAGCTTTGCCAGAGAGTCCACATACACTGGACACAGGCCACATCCCCAAGGAAACTCTCATTCAACCGACTGGCTGCTCATAGCAGATCTCATCATGGAGGTGATTACATTATATCAGATCTCATTATGGAGGTGATTACATCATTACATAGCTGCCAAACTACATCATAACTGCCAAACCACTGAGAATCATGGCCCAGCCAAGTTGACACACAACCTTAACCATTACACTTCTAGATCTATAACTGGACTTAATTTCCAGTGAGCCCCAAGGGGTGAAGTACAAAGTGTGACCCATGAGGAGGTATACTACACTCCGAAAACTACTTGATTTTTCTAGTATTTACAAACAGAAACCTGGGGAATGCGTGTAGGAATGGCTATTAAAGGTGTAGGATAATGGTACAAAGAACATAAAATTGGATCAGTCTGAGTTTATTGGTATGGGTCCACTAAGCAGAGATTCTTCATTCAGTGTTTCAGCTTGAGAGGTTAGAAAAGGATCTAATAGTTTATTTGGTTGGTTGACTGAAGCATGCACCAAGAGGTAGCCTACACTAAATGAAATTGAAATACCACAGCTACCTTGGTATACTGTAGAAGAAGGTATTCAAAGGCTTGGGGAAAATTGGAATGTTACAGTGGATTTATCATGTTTACCCACAAACCCACCCAGGGAATGCCCAAAGCAAACACCTTTCACCACAACTGTAAGGAATAAATTTGTGAAGGGAGGCCATCATGCTTGAAGACTGCTGTGATTGCTCTTATATTTAGGTCAGATGCTACAGGGGGAGAAGCCCTAGTGTCACAGTGGTTAACATGATTGGCAGTTTGAAACCACCGCTCCAGGGGAGAAAGATGTGGCAGTTTGCTTCAATAGGAATTTACGGCTTTGGAAACCCTACGGGGTCGCTATGAGTCGGAATCAACTCGATGGCAGTGGGTTTGGTTTTTGGTTCTTTATTACAAAGGGAGCTGCCCTAACTGAATTAAGACACCTAACTACAATGGAATGAACCCTGGTTAGCACTTGGCTGCTAACCAAAAGATCAGCGATTCGAACCCACCAGCTGCTCTGCAGGAAAAAGATGTGGCAGTCTGCCTCCATAAAGATTACAGTCTTGGAAAGCCTATGTGGCAGTTCTACTCTGTCCTACAGGGTCTCTATAAGTCAGAATTGACTTGGCAGCAACAAGTTTTGGTTAATTACAATGGGTTGATTGGATCACTGGGTAGCAGGTGTCAAGTGGTGGCACTTGATCACCAAAGCAGGCATGGTTACAGTAATGGAGAGCAGAGTCAAACCAGTACTCAGAATAGTCTGACTTGCATGAACTTATGCCGTTGGTTACTTAGTCATGATGTCCCCAGGAGTAAAATAGATAGGAAACCTACTATTTACTTGATCTATACAAGTGAAAGAATTCTAGGTCAAGTGAATGGCAGTCTAACTTGAATCACCAGAATAGAGAGTCACAGCCCCACAATCAATTCCAAGATTTGAGTGAATTTATAGGCCCACGACCCCCTGAATGAAGGGGAGGCTGGGTCCCTTGAGGAAGGTCCCCACTACACTGTCAAAATTTTATATTGTTAACTTTCTCCCAAACCTGTCATGGAGTCAATTCCAACTCACAGCGACCTCACAGGACAGAGCAGAACTTCACTATAGGGTTTCCAAGGAGCATCTGGTGGATTTGAACTGCTGACTTTTTGTTTAACAGCCAAGCTCTTAACAACTGCACCACCAGGGTTCCATCTTTCTCCCAGGCTGTCGCAGCGGCGACGGTAATCGAGACGGCGAAGACAGTAACCAACTGCACAACTCTTACAGAGAAGTGGGGCCAGGAGGGTCACTCTGAGGAGTCGACCCGGCTTCAGTCCCAGGAGTTTATTTTATAGTCAATACAGCAAGCGATAAAGCAATTAACAAAACAATGGGCTTTGGGTGTGGGCAAGGGAGAAGGAATTCAGGTAAACAAG